AGCCTATAAGAGACTGTGAGCCAGCTGCTCTCAAATTCCTGACCCACGAAAACTGTGAGAGATAACAGTGCTTGTTTGTGCAGGCCACCATGTGTTGGTGTAATTTGTGACACAGCTATAGACAGATAATACAGGGAATCTGTCATAGGCCCTGCTCTTCAGTTCTGCCTGCCACTGCTTTGCACAGGTCCCTTTTCTTTTCCTTTATCTTTTTTTTTCTCTTTTGCTTACCAGAGCTCCCCAAATCCAGCCTCTAGAGGGAATGCTCAGAATTATTGTATTTTACTATGCAGAGTAATTTAAGTACCTTAGTCTAAACCTCTCTCATTTTGGCTAAGTCCAAGGGATGCTGCTTTCTCTGACCAGACATACTGACTGAGGTCTAAAATCTAAATGTTCTGTCCTCCTACCAGGCCAACTGGTAGCAGGCCCACTCACACAGCTGACAGCTTATGAAACAATTATTCTTGCCCTGATGGAAGTATACGTGAGCAAAGTGCTTGAAGAGCAAAGGCAGCAAAGTGCCTAAGCTGCCTGGGGGAGCTCACCGAAGAGTTGTCTCTGAGCTGAGTTGTGAAGCATAAGCAGGAGTTCATTCGGTAGATAAATGAAAGAAAGTCTTCTACGCAGAAATAACAGCAATCACAAGGGCTCAGAGGTGAGAAGAGGCATAATTCTGAGAACTGTAAACATGTCAGGGATGTGGGTAAGAATACCTGTTGGGGTGCTTGGAAGATATTGGGTACTAGGTTATATCAGGCATTATAAGCCACATGTATCAGTTAGAAGACCACAGGCAACAATTCCCTGAATCCAGTGACTTAAAAATAAGAACAATAATGAATTTAGTATCTCAGATAGTAAGTGCATAGATAGGACTGCTCCCATGTTGGTTAACTTAGCAGCTTAATGACGTTCTCAAGGACCCAGGTTTCTCCTGTATTTCTCTTGTTATTCCCAGGCTGGTGCCCCCACTGTAGTTGTCAGAGGCTGTAGCAGCTCCAGGCATCATATCTTTAAAAATTGCTTGTGGAGGAAGAAAAGGGGTCTTCTGTTCTCTCTTGTATGTAAACTTTTTAAGACTTATACTCTTTTCAGGATGGAGAAATCCCTTCCCAGAAATGTCTTCTCTCCTCCTCTCATTCATCCCAACAGCTGACTTCCCTTTAATATCATTGCCTAGAATTGCATGCTATGTCCAGGCTTAATATTAGGTGAGGGAATGGGCCACCATGGTTGACTCAGACCAATCGTAGTTTGGGGCTGGGGTTGGAGCCCAGCACTCTTTAAGCACATGGCCAAGTGTAGGAGTGTAGTTACTCAAGTGAAACTGGGATTATGTTAACAAGGTGGAAGAGAGATTGTTGGCTTTTTGGGTTGGTAGTCAGCAAAATCTGCCATGCCACGCCAAGGAATTTGGACTATATCCCATTGGGATGGAGAACCACAGAAAGATTTTAAAACAGGAAGCTGTATAATTACATTTCACCAGTGTTATCAGAATGGAGGGGTACTTAGGCGGGGCATGGGTCTGGAGGCAGGACTGCAAGTTAACAGGCTTCATCAGAAGATATTAACAAGGATTTTAGAAACTTGAATTAAGAACACCTAGTGACTAATCGGATAGAATGGTGAAAGGAAATAGAAGGAGGAGATTCTAGAATGACTTGCAGATTCCCGCGTGAGTGAATCACAGGGTATTAATCAAAGTTGGTAATGTGTATAGAAGAGGTTTGGGTAGATAAGGTGAAAGTAAAGAGAAAATGAGGTTGGTCTTGGACAATGAGGTGCCTTTAAGACACACGAATAGAGACGAGTAAACTTGCAAGGGAGAGTGAAGACCACATGACTTAAACTCCTTCAGAGGTAAGGGCTTGATGGAGTGTGGAAAGAAGGAAAATTAATGACAGAAATAAAGCAATGCAGACGAGTGACGTCTAGTGTAGGACTGGTTTGGCAGATTTTGTTCAGGGCTAGGTAGAATCAAGGACTTGCAGAGAAAATTGCAAATATGATTGTAGACAAGCCTTTAAAAAGCAGTTAAAAACCTGTTTTGAAATACGGATTTCTGTAATTTGTTTCAACATGTTGAGTTACAGCAAATGAGATGGAGAAATGATCTCAGCCCATTTATATATATATTTTTAGCCATCTGACTAGAAATGTCAGAACTTAGCCCTGTGAGCCGTTAATCAGATAAACACTGCAGGCTTTTGTAAAGAATTATGTTTTACAAATACCTGCGGGCATGTGGACTTTTCGAAGGAAGCATTGTCCAAACCAGGCTGACAAAAATAGCATAAGGACAAAGTGCCGAACTCTGGGCACTTTGGGCACCCTCTTGCGAACCAGAGGGTCACCAGTTTGATTCCCAGTTGGGGCACATGCCTGGGTTGAGGGTTCGGTCCCTTGGGGGCACATATGGAAGGTAGCTAATTGATGTTTTTCACATTTTTCTCTCACATCAATGTTTCTTGTCCTCTTTTCTCCCTCCTGTACCCTCTCTCTAAAATCCAAAGTGAAATATTTAAAGAACACAATATTAAAAAAGAAAGTGTTGATATTAAAATGTAGGCTCCTGTGTAAATTAGAAGATGTTTCAATGTACCTTCAAGTTCTAAGTTAATATAGTTCATAAACTATCTGAATTAAGTACTGTTTAAAACATAAATAGGAATTCTATTTCCATTAAAAAATCTCCCATGTGGTGGAACACTGAAGTTTGAAATACACATAGGTTAGACTTAGAACTACATAGTTGGCAGACGACTACAAGAATTTTTTTTAAAAGCTAAAATATTTGTTGAGTGTTTTTCATGTCTATGTGTTCCAGGCACTAAGTTGGGCTCTGGAATAATAAAAATACTTGATATTTGTATCATTTTGTGGTTCATCCTAACTTTATGCAACTGTTTTACTCAATGTGGCTTTTGGGGGTCCAGATAAAATGTACCCCTTGAAGAACAGGAGGGACTGAGGGACAAAGAAGAACACTGACACTGAGAATTGAGGGAGAAAGGCAAGTTGGAGAGCCAGTTAGGTTGGGAGGATCATGGAAGGAAAAGACAATACAGGTGATCCTTGAGTAACACGGGCTTTAGGGACATTGACCCTGCTGCATCAGAAATTTGCATATAATTTTTGACTCCCTCAAAACTTAACAACTAATAGCCTACTGTTGACCAGAAGTCTTACAGATAACATAAATAGTCCATTAATAATTTTTTTGTATGCTATATGAATAAATACTGTTTTCTTACAATAAAGTAACTAGAGGAAAGGAAACTACTTAACAAATTGTAAGAGAAAATACATTTACAATATGGCACATATCTGTTGAAAAGAATCCATGTATGAGTGGACTCATGCAGTTCAACCCATGTTCAAGGGTCAGCTGTGGTCATGAGAGAGTGAATGTAGAAACCAGACAATGGCCAGACCGTATGTGATGATTAGAACTCCGACCCACAAACTCTGCAGCTATCAGCCCAGAATTCTCGACTGGTTAATAACTGTCTGCTTCCCTATTTTTTGCCCCTCCCCTTCCGACTCAGGACCAATTAGAGAGAGCCAAATATGCTCCCCCAACACAATTACACAAGATGCTCTGCTCCTGGTTAGTCTGCCTCTAGTTTCCTCAAGCTCATTCTCTCAAATCAGAGCACACATTAAAACCCCCTTCCTCTCCCATTTTTTTTTTCATTTTTAGTTTTTCCACTCCCCTAACACCCTTTGAGTCTGCCGGGCACAAGTGATAGCAGCTGACTGCCTTGTTATAGCAGGCATGGAATAAATAGCCTCTTTTTGTTATCATTCAGCTTGTCTTCATTTAATTCCGCAGTTATTAGTTCACATATATTAGTGGTTTTATGTGCCAGGTGGTGCCCAGCATTGATATGGAAGCAGACAGTCCCTGCCCTCAAGGATATTCTGTCATTTGGACAGAAAGGCACATAAATATACTTGTAATTTAATGTGGTGAACAAAACAATAGGCATGTATAAAGGGGGTGTAGATCAAGTAAGGCTTTTTAGAAGAGGTGACGCTGAAGCGGAGTGCTCAGGGATGAATTGTGAGTTGGCCTGGCTAAAAGTTAGGGAAGAATATCCAAGGCAATTGGAGGGGTTGGGGGGTCGGCGGACACAACGAGCAAAACCTAGGAGGGTGGAAACCAGAGGTGCGGTGCTGGAGCAGAATAACGTAGGTAAGGAGCAGGCAAAATATGCTGCACTGACGGCTCGGCTCGTACATGGCCACGTATGTGCCACGTTTGTAGGGACTCGGACTTGACCCTTTCCAACTGGCTTCCCCCTGGAAATGAAACAGTTTGTGTAAGCAAGAAAATAGCATTAAGGAAGTATTACGGTTGTATGTATTACTGTAAGGTCCGGGTGGGGAAGAACAGCTGCTCACAATGTCTGGCACACAGTAGACATTCAATTAATGTTGAATAAATGGATCTAAACGCTTTGGTGTAGACGTCATTGTGCCGAATTTTTATGTTTTTCTCACGGGACAAGACAATGAGGCCGAGGTATCAGTTTGGGAAGCAATAAGAAAGGTTTGAGGTGGTAGAACTGCCATTCTGCCGGGCAGGGTTGGTGGACACAAAACCTCCGATAGGTTGTGGACAAGGTTGCACTATTGACGCAGACACCCCAAGACCCACCAACCAGGGGAGCCACGGAGAAAACAGCCAGTGGAGAATTCGCACAGCAGAGAGGGGCAGTGCACTCCGAGGCCCGCCCCTCTCCCGTGGACCCCAGAGTGTCACCGCACCACTCACCTGTACGCTCTCTGCCAGCCCCTCCAGGCGGGGCCAATGCACGACGCCCTTCCGGATTGGGTGCACTCAAGATCTTGGGGCGGGCAAACCCCTCTTGGGTATTGGTCACTCTGGTTGACAGACGTGCGACCAACGAAACTGGTTTGATGGTCGATGGAGGGCGGGTTCCTATCCGCGGGTCCCCTGTCAGTCATTGGCTACTAGTGGTTTCCTTGGGGACGTGGCGCCGCCGAGGGCGCAGGCCTTTTTCCGGCAGAGCTAGAGACTGCGGGGTTTTGCGGTGGACCGAGCCCAGAGGTGGCGGAGGGGCCAGAGGGCCGCTCAACCGGTGAGTGTAAGTGCTAGAGGGCTGTGGAGCCAGGAGGGACGGGAAGGGAAGGGGGTACCTCAACCCCGCCACCTGAGTACTGCCTTTCCCTCGGGACATCGCTGGCCCTTGAGAACCCCTCTCTCCAGGGAAGCCGGGTTAGGGTCCTCTGGGCGCCAGAAACGATAGCCAGGAGGGACGGGAAGGGGGTACCTCAACCCCGCCCCCTGGGTACTGTCTTTCCCTCGGGACATTGCTGGCCTTCGAGAACCCCTCTCTCCAGGGAAGCCGGGTTAGGGTCCTCTGGGTGCCAGGAACGACAGCGGGCGTACCTGGAATGGGAGTTTGGGGAGTGTGTAGCCACCGTGGCCTTCTCGAGGTCTGTTCTCATAGGTATTGAAGGTGAGCCTGAAACCCAACCAACTCTTTTCAGGCTCAGGAAATGCCTGGGACAAGGAGACCACCTTCTCAGGGCAAAAGGAAAAGGAGGTGACAGGCGGGACCGCTGAAGGGACCCCATGGCTAGGTAAGGCTATATACTTTCTTTTCAGCTGGCGCTCATTGGGGGTGGCAGGCAGGTTGAGGGGCCTTGAGACGTGAGTGAAGATAGGACTGCATCTGGACTTTGCATCTGAACATATGGTTGCAAAGATCAAAGTTGCATTCTTTCGAGGGCAGAGACAAAAGTTTCCAGCCCATAACCGCGGGCTCAGGTCGCAAAGGGCTAGATTGTAATGTTCTTGACGTATTTCCACCTGAGTGGAGGCTGTTTGATCTCCTTGAGATTAAACAAAGATTTTTTTCTTTTTTGCAATGAACTTTGAAAACAGACTGCGGTCCTTATGAATCAATATAGAAAGTGACCTTCACAGTTGAATACACTTATCCATACATTGTGATAATACTCTGAAGCTTTCAGAAAATATTAATGTGGTTCTGTGGATATGGGACAGTTGTCAAATAGAGTAAGTAGGGAAAGGCACAGAGCAATGTGTGTGGTGTAAAACCAAAGGAATGGAGAGACACACACACACATGGATCTGTTACCACATGTGACATATCTCTGTGATTGTGTATATATAAAATATCCCTGGAAAAACACACAAACTTGGTAGTAATGGTTGCCTCTAAGAGGGAAATGGTTGCATTAAGGCAAAAGACACACTTCCCACTATATATCCTTTTAAACTGATTTTTTTAAAACAATGTGCATATATTACCATTTAAGTATTTTAAAAATCAGTTGAATAAACTTTCTAACTATCCAGTTTTTGACAGCATTCTTGATGGCACTGTTGTAGTACTCTGATTCCTCAGTGTTAGGAGGTTGCTCAGGGAGACTGATGATCCTTTCATTAAAATAAGATTAATTTTTTGAATTGCACCTCAAAGTACAGACTTGAAAAAAGATTTCCCAAGCTTTTCTGATTTATATAGTAGAAGTGCCATGAACTATATAGGTCTTTTTTTTTCAAATTTGAGACTAAAAGAACATTTAAAATTCTGGTGGCATGAATTTTTGCCTTTATTAGGAAGGCTGTACTCGAGTTTAAAAGCTGTTTTTTATACTCAGTTGTAGAGACTTTCCTTACTAATGTTTGTATCATTTCAGGATCAGTTTTTCCTACCTCTGCCCAGCCTCCTGGTACTTTACTGTGCCCACAGTGAGCCCATTTCCCCGTCAGCGGGCGGCATTCCTAGGACTCTTCTGCATATCCTGTCTCCTTTTACTTATGTTAATCATGGACTTTCGACATTGGGGTGCTTCATTACCACGAGATAGGCAATATGAAAGGTGAGTCAGCTTTAGATAATTTTGATTAGCTTTTCATTGAAGTCATAAGTATTTTGACAAGCTGTTTATTAACACCTTACCACCTTTGACCCTTTTGGGGAATACTGCACTTCTATTAGTAAAATTGCATGCTACTTATTACATAAACATCTTGACAATTTTCAGTTTTGAATCAGGAATGATGCTGCTGTGTTTTGCATCTTTCTTTTTTCTTGTTTTGGTGGGCTAACTTATTGGGTACATAAATTTTAGGGTTGTTATGTACTCTTGATGAATTGGCCCTTTTTATCATTATTAAATTACTATCTTTATCCTTGATTATATTCTTTACTCTGACATCTAACTGGTCTGTTATTCAAACAGGAACTTGAGCTTTCTTCGGGTGAGTGTTAGCATGACAGATCGTTTTCCATCCTTTTAGTTTAAGCCTATTTGTGTCTTTACATTCAAAGTGGGCTTGTTGTAGGCATCATTTAGTTGAGTCTTGCTTTTTATCCCATCTGACAATGTCTGCCTTTTATCTGGGGTGCTTAAGCCATTTGTATTTAATGTGATTATCAGTTATGTTTATATTTAAATCTCTTGCTATTTCTTTTCTGCTTGTCATATCTGTTCTTTTTTTTCCTCTTTTTTTTTTTGAATTGAGTATGTGTTTTATGATTCCATCTTGTCTCTTTTGTGGCTTATTAGATATAACTTTGTTTTTACTTTTTTAGTGATTGTTTTAGGATTTATACTACACATCTTTATACTTTATACTACACATCTGTAACCAATCGTAGTCTACATTCAAGTGATATCACACCTCTTCACACGCAGTGTGAGAACCTGTGCCCTTGGCCTTTGTGCTGTTGCTGTCATATACTTTACTTCTCTGTATGTTATAATGCCACTATACATTGTTTTTTTATTTTTCCTTTAAATGTTCAATTATCTTTTAAAGAAATTTTAAAAATAAGAAAAAAAGGGTTATATATTTACTATATCTGGGACTCTTCATCCCTTTGTGTAGATTCATATTTCCACCTGGTACCATTTTTCTTTTACCTAAAGGATTTCCTTTAATGTGTCTAGTAGTGTGAGTCTGTGATTGGTGAATTCTTTCAATTTTGTATTATTGAAAAAAGTATTTATTTTGCTTTCCTTTTAAAATAAATGCTCATTGGGTTGATTAGTTTTCTTTTATTACTTTAAAGATGCTGCTGCCCTATCTTTTGGCTCGAATTCTTTCTGAGGAGAAGTCTGCTGTCATTTTTATCTTTGTTCTCTCCGTACATGTGTCCTTTTCCCCTGGCTCTTAAGATTTTCTCTTTGTCACAGGCTTTAAGCAATTTGCTTTTGCTGTTCATTTGTAGAGTTTTCTTCATGATTCGTGGGCTTGTGATTTGTTGAATCTTAAATACACGGATTTATAGTTTTTAATCAAATTTGGACAAATTTTGACCATTTTTTTTTTAGAAACTTTTTCTGTGCTCTCCCATTTCATCTTTGACATCTCCAAACACATATATATTGAGCCATGTTGAAGGTTTTTTGTTTTTTTTTTAATTTTACTTATTTAGAGAGAGGGGAAGGTGATGTAGACCCTGGCCGGCAGGATCCGTGTGTTGTGGCCATGAGAGACAAATTCACACAGACTACAGAAGTCCTGTGGAGAAAAAGGGACGGCATGGCCACTCTCTAAGAGAGAGAGAGAAAGAGAGAGAGAGAGAGAGGGCCCCGACCCCGGCCTGGACAGGCTTTTATTGCTTTTCTTGATACATTACATCGAGGATGGCCCTCATTTACTGTACACAGGTTCACTGTAGGTGAACCTTTTACAGATAACAAAGGAAAATGTTGCTTATTACTTCAAAGAGAAGGATGTTATAGATCAAGGGGAAAAGTGGTTGAACTGGTTACACTCCATACTTGGGAGGTTTAGCACAGACTTTAGGAAGTTAAAGACATACAGTAAACATTTGCAGCCTCAGTCCAGGGTGAGGGAATTTTAGCAAAAGTAAGTCTCATAGGAGCCTAAGTACAATGCAGGCCTGATTCCCTCAGGGAGAACCTATCTGTGGGTGTGGCTCCTGTGTGCTGAACCTTGCTCCTCACTGGCCTTTCCGAGTGGGAGCTGGGCTACATTCCCACGCCACGCAAAAACGGTTCCCTATAGGAAGGGATGGAGAAAGAGGGAGAGAAGTGCTAATGTGTGAGAGATACATGGATCAGTTGCCTCTTGCAAGCCTCCAACTGTCCTGGCCCACAACCCAGGCATCTGCCCTGACTACGAATTGGACCAGTGACCTTTTGGTTCTCAGGCTGGCACTCTGTCCACTAAGCCACACCAGCCAGGATGAGCCATGTTGAAGTTTTTTCACAGCATACCAATGCTGTATTCATTTTTTTTTCAGTCTCCTTTTCTGTGTTTCTTTCTTGATATTTTATGTTGCTGTGTCTTCTAGTTAATTATTTTCTTCTGTAAAGTCTAATCTGTTAGTTCCATCCACTGAGATCTGAATAATACCTTTTTTCACAGAAAATACATCTGAATTATTTGATATAGTTTTAATGTCTTGCCAGTTGCTTAGAACATCTATATTCCTTTATAACGGTGATTCATTTTGCTATTTTTTAAGCTTAGTTTCTGATTAGACTATAAAATGAAACAATGACATGTCGTGTTCATCATCTGCAACATGATTTTTTCTCTGTTGCTTCTCAGATATATATCGGTTAGGAGGCCTTGGGCTGCAAGTAACAGTCAAACTGACTTAAATAACAAGAAAGTTTATTGGCTTACATAACTAGAAGTCTAGAGGTAACAGAACCATAAGTTCAACACTTGGTGGCAGGATGGGAGTTTCTGTCTCGATTGTCCATATGTCAGCTTACTTAATTATTGCAAAATAGCAGCCAGTAGCGACAGGGGCTGCGTGCATCCTCATTCATGTCCTGTAGGAGCGACACAGGTATTCTGTGCTCACTTATAAGAATGAAGACGACCCTTCCAGAAACCTTTAGTCACTTTTTCCTTGAGTCTTTTTCTGTTAGAATTGGGACACATGGTTACTCCCCTTAATATTTCTGGGTTGTTTTGTCTCCATAATTTTCTATTTCCTATTTACTTGGTTGTTCATCCATTCATTGGACAAATATTTATTGAGTAGCCACTATGTGCCAGGTGATAATAGCATGAGGACATGGTGACTTTGGTACCTTTTCTCAAGAAGTTTGTTTTTAACGTTTACTTCTCTAGCAGTGCTGTCGTATTTTTGACTCTGCCTTTCCATAAGAGGTAATACTTGTTTAGATAACCACAGTTGTCAATAATTGGCCTTAAGCTTGTTGGCTTTGGAGAACTAAATCCATAATTTGAGTTTTCTTAATGCTTATTGGGATTTTTTTTTGACAGACCTGAGCATAGTTTCCCACTGGAAGACAGCGTGGTCTACTTATTGTATGCTATGTAGGTTGATACGGCTAGAGTGAAGACTATTAGGGAGTTAGCAGTGAGCTGTGTAACTGGAAAGGCAGATCAGGCTGAGATTGCTAAGCCATTTTAGGGAGTTTAGACATTAAGGCTTTGAAGAAGACATGGTCTGAAATGCTTTTTAAGGAAAGCTTATTTTGGTGGCATTGTAGAGAATAGAACGGATGGGGAATAAAAATGAAAGGGAGATGAATTGGAATACTCCAATAGAGAGATGATGGTGGCCTGAACTTGGGAGGCAGCAATGACAATGTAGAGCAGTAAATGGATTTCAGGGATACGTGGCAGTGATCTAGCAGCTCTTGTCTGTCACTGTACCCCAAGTGGGCAGATCTAATAAATACTTGTTAAGTTGAATTAATTGACACAAGTTAGCTATAGTGCTAAGGAACACACAGACTGTGCTGCTGTCGTGACCTTACCAAAGTCTTGACACTGTATAATACTTTCACTGAGCAGCCAGCAGCCATGTAACCTAAAGTTTCCTATTCTTTTTTTTAAAGATTTTATTTATTTATTTTTAAAAGAGGGGGAAGGGAAGGAGAAAGAGAGGGAGAGAAGCATCAATGTATGGTTGCCTCTCCCATGCCTCCCACTGGGGACCTGACCCACCGCCCAGGTATGTGCCCTGACTGGGAATCAAACTGGCAACCCTTTGGTTCGCAGACTGGCCCTCAATCCACTGAGCCACACCAGCCAGGGCTCTTCTCTTTTTCTCGTTTATTCTACTACAGTTGTCCCAATTCCACGCCCCCCCCCCCTTTGCCTTCCTCATCCCAGCCCACCCCCACTCCCACAGTCAATTCCCACACAGTTGTCCATGTCTATGGATCATTCATACATGTTCATTGTCTAATCCCTTCCCCTTATTTCCAGCATTCCCCTCTCCCCACTTTCCTCTGGTAGCTGTCAGTCTGTTCCATGTTTCCATGCTTGTGGTTCTGTTTTGCTCATTAGTTTATTTTGATCATTAGTTCCTCTTATAAGTGAGGTCATATGGTATTTGTTTTTCACTGACTGGCTTATTTCACTTAGCATAATGTTCTCTAGATCCTTCCATGCTATCCCCAAAGGTAGGAATTCCTTCTTTCTTTCTGCTGTGTAGTATTCCATTGTGTAAATATACCAAAGTTTTTTAATCCATTTACTCTATTGATGGGCACTTAGGCTGTTTCTAGCACTTGGCTATTGTAAATTGTGCTGCTATGAATACAGGGGTGCATAAGTTCTTTTGAATTAGTGTTTGGGGATTCTTAAGGTATTCCCATCAATGGAATTGCTGGGTCAAAAGGCACATCCATTTTTAATTTTTTGAGGAGATTCCATGCTGTTTTCCACTTGGCTGCACCAGTCTGCATTCCCACCAACTTTGCATTAGGGTTCCCTTCTCTCCACACCCTCACCAGCACTTGTTGTTTGTTGATTTATTAAAGATAGACATTCTGAGAAGTATGAGGTGATATCTCATTGTGGTTTTAATTTGCATTTCTCTGATGGCTAGTGATGTAGTGCATTCTTTCATATG